TGACTACGAAACTGTCAACGCTTCAGATTTTCATTTCTTTTTTTTCATCTGTAGGACTTTTAGGTGAACTCTACGTCAGTGGCACCTAAATCTCCTCAGCCAGCAAACTGCTTCCAGCACTTTGCAAATCCTTATGGTTGGATTATAACCTGGGAAATGCTCCATCCCACTGGCTGGCACACAGAGGGACACGGTGCTGTGGGCCATGGTGTGCTCAGGGACACGATCATCCCCTGTGCGAATGTGACGGACATGAAGCGAACCTTGGTGGGGCCAAAACGCAAGCAGAAGCATTCAGCTTCCAGGCACCAAGCACCCGTTGCAGGAAAAGCATATTTCTAAAGGTGTTTTTGCTATTTATGCAAACCAGAGGCAATTGCTGTGGCTTCAGCCATCCCGATGTTTGGCTTCTGGTGGCCCTAGTGCAGGGATCTGCATCCCTGTCCCCAGCCGGGCCTGCAGTGAGGGGTGCAGGATACCCCCAAGCACTGGCCCGATGGCTTGGCACAAAGTTGCCACTGCATGTTGTTATTCAGACGAGGAATCCACATGCTCGAAGCATTTCCTCGGAAGAAACCCAAGATTTCTTCAACACTTTTCACTGGTGTAGAACACCGCAAGTGGCTCAGGCTGCGGCAGGGTCCAGCGCTGGCTTGCAGCCACTGGTGTGCATCACTGTGGTGGATGGCAGGTGCAAACACCCACGCTCGTCCCTAACTCCTACGGACAAGGGGGAAAGAAGAACATGGAAAACTGGCCCCACACCCAGGAGAGCGGGCACAGTGCCTGTGCGCCATGGGAAAAAGCAACAGAGCTAGTTTATTATTTTATTTCTTTGCATCATGGTTTCTATTAACAATGCCGACCTCTGGGTCAGAAGTTTCCTGGCAGCGGTGGGGGCTCTGCGGGACCCTTGTCCCTGCGCTGCAGGGAAGCGCCAGCTCCGCTCCCTGCGCAGAGCAAAGAGTGGCTCATCCCCAGGACTGACACCTGCGGGCGGGTTTATGGCTGGGGGGGAAGCCCCCTCGCTGCTGAAGGAGTGGCTGTTGGGAACATCCATCACTAACGCTGGCAGCAAGGAGGGGACAGCGTGTGCTCCCCCTTGTCCTGCAGCCCCGAGACTGGAGGTCCTGAGCCTCTCCAGCTGGGCTGGGGTCCTGCACCATCAACCCCACGCACACCCCAGCCCTTCCTGGACCCAGCACCAGTGAGCATTCCACACGCCCATTGCACACCTGGGCTGCACAGCCCAGTTGCATTCCCTGGTTGCACGCTGCAGTTGCACACTGCAGTTGCACGCACAGTTGCATGCTGCAGTTGCACACCACGGTTGCACAGCTGGTTGCATGCCTGGATTGCACACCTGTTTGCATGCCCCAGTTACAGACCTGGGAGCCCCCCCCCTCCGGAAAGCCACACTTTCTTCACCCTGTTTTCCTGCAGGTTTCGTTTTTCATGCTGCTTTCCCCCATTCTCTGAGCAGCAGCGATTCCCAGCCTCTCTGTGCGCAGCCAGGACCTGCTGGGGGTCGCTGGAGGCAGCACGGCTGCACCCACGGGAGGACCACCGGGGAGGGGGAGCAGGCACCCATCGGCACCGTCCATCCAGGCCACTACCAAGCGAGGCAGAAGCACCGCATCGCTGCCTCTACGCGGACGTGCTTCCGATGGTGAAGGAAACCATGCAAACCCCACAGGGTGCTCGGGGCCAGCGGGAGTTTTGGACGTGAGGATGGTAGAGCAGAGCCAAGATGGGTTCCTCATCCCCTGAGGAAAGCAGGAGAACTGAGCCAGCAAGCTGCCCCGCACCTGAACTGGGATTTTGCACCCCAAAAATGGAAGCAAAATAGAAGGGATTCGGGTTAGTTTTGCAACGTAGCTGCCATCGGAGCGTTTTCTCTGCTGCTGCTGAGAAGGAGAAGTGAAAGGAGGCTGTTATTTCAGTGCCAGAGCAAAACCACCGTGTTTGCATGTACTCACAATGAAGCCGCTGCCTGGCAGAACTAGGTCATTGGAAGGGAAAGAAATGAAGCAAGCGAAGGCTGGCAGAAGGGAGGGGAGCACGGGCAGAGGGGAGGGGGCCAGGGCAGAGCACCCCGTGCCGGTGCTGGCCCTGCACCCGGGCACACCACCTCCCCCCTAACATGTCTGCTGGCTGTGGGCTGGTGGTTTACCTGCAGCTTCAGTTCTTTCCTCTCTGTCCTAGTTGGCCACTTTCTCCATCCAGAACTGCAAATGTTTTTCCAGCCCGACAACACATTTCCCATCTCTGCCCGTCCCCGGGAGCTGTGGGCACAGCGCCGGGCACAGCCGGATGCAGCCGCCACAGCAAAGGCGCATGTAAATGATGCATAGGGGTAAATTCACTGGAAAAGAGAAATTGGTATCAGCACCGTCAAGAAGTTTTCACCAGTGGTTAAAATCCTGGCAAGGCAGTGGGAGAAACACCCTGGTCAGGGTTGCAGCCGGTGGGCACGGGGATGTCCCAGCTCCCAGCGAGGCAGGCGCCGAGCACACCCAGTGTTAATGGTGGCTGCCCAGCCCCGGGTCAGCTGAGGGTAAAGCTCCCTTCCACCGGGACAGGAGGTGTTTGCATGAAGGTGGGTTGGTACGCGCTGCTCCCATGAAGTGCTGCCTGGGGAGGCAAGCGCGGGATGGGGGATCCGCGTTTTCACATGGCTTCATTTCAGAGCCAGTGAGCCTGGGGACAGCCTGCGGAGACCCACGGGGTGCTACAGCAGGGTATCCTCCAGCCACCGCTAGCTCCCCTGCTGGCACCCGCAGCGAGGGTGGCTCAGGGGAGTCCCCAGTAGCGCGGGGTCCCCGCCGGCCCCTTGCCCCCCCACCGCCTGCCAGCAGGATGTTTTTTTACTGGAAAGTCAGTTGTTTTGGGTCAGGCCGGGACATGAAAGCATCCCGCGAGCTGGCCCCGGTGCCGCCCCGTGCCGGGCGAAGGCTGCGCTGCCGGCCGCGGCCATCGCCTTCCTGTCTGCACCGCCTTCCTGTCGCCGCTGCCACCGCCACCGGCCCCACTCCGCCGCCGGCTGCCGCTCAGGAAGGCGAAGGTCTCGCAGCCGGCACGATGAAGAGGGCAGCCGTGCCCTCTGGCTGCAGAAACCCTTCTCTTCCCGTTCGTAAGACAAGGGCTCCGGGTGTCCGCTGGGTTTCGGCCGCGGGAGGGTTCAGTTTTACTGCACCCCTGGTACCAGCCAAGTCCCGGCCAAGCGCGGCGAGCGCAGCCGCCCTCGCCTGCAGCTGAGGTACTGCCCACGCCGACCTGTTGAAAAAGCAGCACAAAGAGCCGCAGGCAGGGTCATGCTTTCATTTATTCACTTCATATAAAAATCTCTTATGAATGCATCTGAACACAATATATAATACTATAACATACATTGTGTGAAACTTTTGGAAACAATAAAATAACCACCTGGAACAATGCAGTGTTCAACAGACATACAAACCCATTGATCATGCACAACTGTGCTATTTTCATTAACTAGTTAGTCACAAGTTGGACCAAAAGCTTGAAACATATTTTACAAACTGAGATTGACACCGCTCACGATGCCGGACAAGCTTTGTCAGAAGTTTCACAGCACAATTATTACATCAGTTCACATTTTTGTCATAGAAATTCACATTGGGTTGTTCAGAAATTGGAACGTGACATTTAAAAGCTGGCCCGTTCGCGGGGGTTTCTTTTTTTCGGTTCCCCCCCTCTAGGTTTGCAGCACTTCCAACCGCTCGCCCGTTGCCCTGGGGTCCGGTCCCCCCCGGCTCACCGTGAAGACGAACCCCCCCGGGCGGCTGCCACCCGAATGCCCTTCCTGGGTTGCGTCTGTCTCTTCAGCTATGTTCAGGTTCTTGTATTTTATGCAATACAAAAGGTTACAAGAAAAAAAGGCAACTCTTATTCCGAGTTTTCTACACAATTAACATCACCGCCGACAGGCAATGTTAATTCATATAAATTAATAACTTACAAAACATTACAGTATATACATTATGTAATAAATACACTGTTATAAACAGTAATGGAGGTGTTAGAGCTCAAGGCAGTGCAGGAGGAGAACGGTGGACCTAAATCTAGGAAACATGAACAATAGGCGAGAGAAACACAAATATCCGAGCGTGCAACTTCCACTGAGCCAAGGAGCTGCCGAGGGGGAACGCATGTCACACGCTGCCTTATCACGCTTACTTATATATGTACTGCACTGTGCCGTGGAAACAACCTACCCTCTATCCTGCGCACGACAAAAATAAAACCCGGTTGGGGAAAATACACTGATATTCCTAGCAAGCGAACAGAGATGGTGCACGATGGCATGAAGTGACTTTAAATGGGTTGCCGGGGGTATTAAGAAGACAATTAAAGGTGCAGTAATGCAAAACAGAGGGTTTCCCTTCTATTTAGTCTGTAAAAGTGATTAACTGCAGTAAAGTGACAGGTATTGCCCATGAAAAAAGGAAGACTGCTTCTTGTAACAGGAAGAATCAAAAAGTATCCGTCAATTTTGAAACACTTTGTGTCACTTTTTATACTAAACTCTGTGTATTTAATTAATAGACTCTTGAAAAGACATGAAAGTGTTTACAAAGAAGGCACACAGGTCTGCAGACAGGTGGTCAGGTGGACAGGTTTTATATGGAGAGTTATTAATCAGTAGTTGCTATCAGTCTAACTGGTATAAATTCCAAAACTAACAGTATAAAATCTCTCAGTTGTGTGTCATTTACTCTTCAGTCATGACCCAAGCCAGCTCCAGGACAACACGATGCTCTTAGCTGACAAGGCTCAAACCACAATGTAAATCACCTGTTAATTTCCTGAGCAATCATTCACTACACGATCTTTAACCCTGACTCCAATCTCAAGTAGCTGGGAAGATCTTTCAGCCAATGTTAGACACAGGCCTCAGACCCAGGCTGCAGGCTAGTCCGTGAGACTGCTTGCATGCTCATTAAGTGTTTAAAATCCACTCACACAGGTACGGGACATTATGTGTCGACAGGAGACGTATCTTCTGTCACGATTTCTATGTTTGCCTCCCTCTGTGAATCCTCTTCCTCTGGGTCGGCCACGCAGAGTGTCTTTGTATTGCTGAAGTAGCCGATGCTCTCGCCGTCCTTCTCCGGTCCATCCGAATCCTCCTCCTCCAGTGTCAGTTCAAACTGGAACTTCTCCATCATGCTCTGACAGTCCCTGCCTCGCTCCTCCAGCGGAGGAGATGGGCTCTGAGGTATCATGCTCTGGTACCAGTTCCTGTTGTCCTCCAGCGTGTCCAGGATGTCCTGGGCGTCGGGCTGCACCAGGTCAGCCCACGTCTCCCAGAGCGGATGGACGATGTAGTCAATGAATCCCACCTGAGAAACACAGGAACATGCACACTTAGGGGAAGGGAATGGCTATGAGCAGATGGGTGTCTAAAAAGCTCAAATGCTGTTAATACATGATTTTTACAAGCAAAATATCTGCCTCAGAGCAGACTCCCAAAGCAGCACAGTCTAATTGCAGACATAACCATCTGATACCCAAAGCTGCACCTACAACGTTGGACTAGGTTGACACCTTGTCCAAAATCAAACATTGGATGAAAGTTTAACTAAAAGCAGGAGTCGCCTGCAAACTCAGCAACGGAGCTGCCAATCCCATCCCTGGCTGCACGCATGATTTTAAATATGCCTGTAGATGCCTGTTGCTGACTAGCGGCTCAATCCCTGCCCTGCAGAAGTCAGGGGAAGCCATCGCTCTGAAGACAGAACACCCCACTGAGGGGTGCCTCTTCCCAGCTGTTAGTGCAGAGAGGCATTTCAGATGATCATTGCCTCTACCCTAAGCATTAAGAAAGTTTGCTGTGTCTCAGATAGGTTTCCCTGGTGGCTGTGGACAAGGCTGGTGCATTTATGGCAACGCTGCCGGTACCCCAGGGTATGCATGTGGCTGGCAGCTGTGAAAACGGCAGTGCTCCCAGGGTGAGCAGCCGTCCTAATGCCGAATGTCACTGCTTTTATGGACTGAAGTTTCACCTCTAGGTGTATTTTACTATGGTGTGTAGTTTGTACCTATTCTGAACTGTTTCATGGTTCTGCATCTTTAAACATTTCATCATTTCTCCTCTACTCTGCCAAAGCAGCCACCCTGTTTCTCTTCGGAGCCAGCCCTGGTAGAGATTTCCTTTCCTTTCATTTTGTTTTGGAAAGAGCTCATCCCAAGAAGTACTCCTCCCGCACGAAGGCGGACAGACCGCTGTTGCCCGACTCCCATGGAGTGACGTGCCAGCGGTGGAAACAGTGAGGGCTGCGGCCGAGTCCGTCAGTCCTTCCGCCGGTTGGCGCGTAAGCTCTGAGCTAAATCGTTTTTCAATTGTCTGACTAAGAGGACGTACGTCCAGGATGGAGAAAACTGAATGGCCATAAAGAGGATTGAAATTCTTCCGTCTTGGCAGAATGTGTCACTTCTCTCCTCGCTCCGCTGGACAACATTTCTGTGCAGCAGGAAAATGGCTCTCAAAGGGGCCAGACTCAACGTGCAGATGTTTGCTTTGGAAATCACACATGCCTCCTTCAGACACAACAGGATGTCAATAGAACCATTAACATTCAATTGTAACATACTGTTGAGGCAGCTTAAACAAAAAGGTGATGAAAATTTCCTGCAGCACATGTTCCGGAGCACTTTTGAAGTGAAAAAAAAATTCTGTATGGTTAGTTGATGGCTTCACCACCACTCAAAATGCTCAAAGGCTATACAGCACCAATGGCTAGAGATCGGTCACCTCATAACCAGGTCATTGTTTCTTTAAACAAACATCCCAAATCACTGACTAGCTGGCCAGCTGGCTGAGCACTGATCTTAAAATATTTTGATGTAAAGAGGTACCACCTAGAACTTTGAAATACTTGCATGCTATTTTCCCATCAGTTCCTTGTTTCACTCCCGAACGGACATGCCACCTCTTTTTCTCCTTGGCCACTAGTTGGGATTTCAGTGGTAGCCATTGCGTGCAATTCCCGTTCATTTTACATAGCAAAAAATGCCATTTTGAAACCTCTGGGAAGTGCACATGTGAAACAAAAAATTAATTGGAGCTCACATGTGGAGCACATGGGCATTTTCTGGCCAAGCCTGGCCAAAAGATTCATTTCTTGTTAGGTTAACAAATAAGACAGATTTTTCCAACAAAATCACCACGCGGTTGAGTGAATAATTTTGAAACCACTTGGCTTAGCCCTGGAGGACATTTGGAAATAATTATCATCAATTTTATACTTATTCAAGCTGAAAAACCTCGATGATGACTTGCTCAAGTCATTTAAAAACAACAACCAAGACACCATTATATAAAGATTGGAATATGTTTAGGCAAACATAAATTACCGGCTTCATTACAGACTAACCGGGTGAAATTTTACGGCCTGTGCTACACAGGTCAGAACAAAATCTGACCTTGAAACTGTTTAATCTATGAATCAGAACTAGGGATGAGCCACTTAATCTCAAAAAACAAGACATATCCAGCTCCTTTTAAGGTTTGTATTGACATAAATAAATATTTCTTTGACTTCATCCAGCACACGGCAGCTCCATCAGATCTCTAACTTAACCAGCCACATCAGGCACTGCAAAACTGTTTGGGACAAGGCTGAATAACAACTGACATCCAGACTTTTCCAGTGTCCCAAAGTGGATCTCAGCAGGGAGAAGCTCCTAACCCTGCAGTACAATGGGGCTGGCATTGCTATAAATGTCTAACATGGGGTACGATGTCAGTAGGTTTAAGAGGTGGTAATTAAGGAGGCTGGAGGGCGTGAAGGCAGAAGAGACCTGGCAGAAAGGAAGATCAGAATTGTACTTTTCAAGCCTGGGGAACAAAAGGAAACCAACTCACTCTGGAAACTGGGACGCAAACAGAGCAAGATGAACATGCATTTGGAAATGAGGAGACGCCAAGGGGTACATAAAGGAGTCTGAACAGCCTCGCCAGTCTATATGAGCTTCAGGCACAGCTGGATGTCAGGGTCAATCAGAACCAACGCTCTGAACAGCTGGCTGTTTGCCTAATTGTGCTAGAGAAAGCAGATGAATTTTGTCTCCGCTTTAAAAATACAAGCTTAGGCAATACAAAAATGCAGCTCACAGCCAATTACCTGTGATTTTTCCACTGACGCTGTGTGTTTGTCGCACATTGGACTGATTTCCATTCCTCTTTCTCGCTCTTTGTCTCCTTGCTGGAAGAACTCTTCCATGATCCTGTCCGTCCACTGCCGGTACAGCTCCAGAGACTTTGTGGGATTACTCAAGTCCGCACAATGTACCATATTTCGGAGAACCTGCAATTACATTAATCAGAAAACTCATAAAATCAAATGGAAAAAGAGGACGGTTTCAAGCTCTATCTGCTTAATTCAGAACATCTAACCACAAGACTCTTTGATTATGCAACAGCCTATAAAAATATTAACATCGTAACATCTCCGTATATGCGACTAGCTGCTATGGTCCGCTTCAAAAGTAAAACATGCTGTATGTTTTTCAGATAACTTGATACTTACACAGGGTGCAGTTGTGGCAATGTTCATTACATCATATAGGTTTGTTTTTGAATTCAGGCACTTGCCACTATTCAAAATTTACCTCCATGGTCTCAGACGGTTAAATGTTCCTACTTTATAAAATGAGTAATATCCCTTCTACACACACAAAAAATGTGCCTGACTAAGTGTGGCTGCAAGGATTTAGACAGCAACAGGGTGACCTGTTTTAACATCAGCAGTCTTAAATAAAAATGTAAGGAGAGTTTTCCCATGAGTCTGTTCTTAAGAAGTTGGCCATCAAAGAGGAGAGAAGATCAGGATGCGTCTTGTCCTACTACCTACGTGACCCTGTACCAGTACTGCTTTGTCATTTCTGTAAATCAAGGATTATATAGGGAACAGACTGTACATCAATAATTTCAGCTCAGTGTGAGAGTTGCTTTAGGTATGGACTTACAAATTAAATTCTTGCAATCTTGCAATGCTATAGCAATCTTGCTATACTTTTTTGACAGGAGAAACAAATGGGAGAAAGCAGCAAGGAAATTCAGGAGCCCTCAAAAACTCAGCCATATAGATTAACTTCAGAAGAATGTGCATGTTTGCAGTTCCATGCTCTAAGTGTTAAAAACATAACCCCTTTACCTAAAAGATATGGCACCACCTTTTACCTCTTTGTGGTGCAGAACAGAAGAAAAAGATTGCTGAAAGTTTAGGTGAGTAGCTTCTATATACGGTCCATTTAAAAGCCACAGTAAAAACAGGAGCATAGTTTCTTCAGTCCTGAATGAAACACACAAAATCCAGGAAACTTGGTTGATGTACCTGTATTCTGTCTGTGTAGTTGTCCAGAAGGAGGACTCCTGAACTGGTCACTTTCTTAGTTTCCACCATGGTCTTCAGATCAGCTAACAGACTCATATGCTTGGACATATCTGTTGCCAATACCTTTACAGAAATGAAAATACAATCTCAGTACAGGCCACCATACAAAGAACATAGTTTTTCGTTTAGATGAGAAGCAGGGTGTGCATAGTTCATACCATGTCGATCACCATCTTCCTGAGCGTCTGACGCTGTTTCTTGGTCAGGTTCTGGAAGATGTCACAGTGCTCCTCTTGAAGGAGTTTGAAACCCACAGCGAGATGGTGGTTCTCCAAGACGGATTCATCGTTGTACATCAGGGCTAGTTCAGAATCTAGCAAAGCAACATAAATATGTGACTCCAGCACGTGAAATGTGTGATTTCAAACAGCAAATGCTTGTCCTGGGTACTGAAATCTTTATCTGTATGCAATAAATCGAGAAAAGTTTTCTTTCTTTGCTTCATGTGTGCCAAGAGCATGCGGTTTTCTGATCTGAGCACATATGTATATAATATAAACAGCCCTTTGCTCAGTTCTAATGAACAAAATAGTACTTGGTTGACTTAGTTACGGGCTTCACAATCACTGACAACAGAAAGCATGAATCCTGCAAATGCACTTTCCAAAAAAGAACAATACTCATATTTTGGAATCAAGATACATGCTTAGCCTGTTGCAGAACACAATATGAACCACAATATTTAGCTTTATCGTTGTCAATAGCAATAGCATTATTTATCTTATATTAATGATAAAAATTTGCACTCAGGACTGGAAGAACTATTACGCATTAGCAGGTAGTAATATTCACAAGATTCAAGGGCACTTGCAAATTGCACTACAATAGCTTCCTTTGTTAGGAATTTCATTTTAATTACTGCTTTATTTCAAAACATCTAACTAGTTTACTGCACAATATTTTGAGAAAGCAATGCGGTCTGAAAGTCATAATTTGTGACCTCGCTGTAATGGAAGATGCATTTCCATTAGTTTCCAAGTTCGCAGATGAAATTATTGTTTTATTTGAAACAAAACTCACTTGTATTAATAAGAAATTGATTGGAGACCCCGGGGTGATCCACATCATGAATTGCAGCTGCAAAAATTGCAGCAAGGATTTCCAAATCAGTGAAGACGGCCTAGGAAGAAAAAAAAGGAATTTGTCAGAGAAGTCCTTATGTTTTGTCTCTCAGCAGTTTGGGAGGCTGATTTAGAGAAACAAATTGTGCTTTTTAAATTAGTTTTCTGAGAACAAGACATTTACACAGCAGAAAGGTCTACAAGCAGCATGTGCTCTTTAAGATGAAAGAGAGATTACAGGCAAAGCTGCTGCTGAAATTTCTTAATGGTGATTTCCCTGGCTGTAAACTGAGCCCTCAGAAGAGCAGGCAGCACACTGCTTTTTGCAAGTCTGAGTGCTACTGGTGACTGATGCAGCTTAAGGTTTTTCTCCTACGTTCACACAGGCAATGTGGTGCTTTTAAGCCACCATCCCACCTTTAAACACAACAACTGCCCAACACAAAGTACTTAGCTCAAACCAGGTAACTCACATCCAGCGCGGGGGTAGAGAGCAGAACATGCGTGGACTGAGCAACATCAGCAGCATGGAGGCTGTTGTGGTAAGCTACGTCCGAATGGTAGTGGTCTTCTAGCGTCATCATGTACGTTACAAAAGTGTCTGATGAGATCTTGAATGTTTTTAGTAGATCTCGCTCCTGTATAATAAATGATACAAGCATACATGCATATATCAAATAAGGATGTCATACTGCAGAAGGCAACAAAACAGAAAGCAAGTAGAAACTAAAATAGTGCTGTAAAAGAACACAAAATTTGATCAGAAAATCACGAACCTGAAATATAGCGTACATAATGCAGGTGAGCGGCCTGTTGTGGGAATACCTTGCTACATTAAATATGTTGAGACCCCACTTATTCAGATCTTCCAGTTCCTTTCGAAAGGACAAAAAGAGAACAGTTACAATATTTTTCAAGACAATTCTGTATTCATCACTTGCATCACATCTTTTGCATTTTCCAAAAATTTAAAAAGATGCAAATTCAATCTTCGTTATGGTAATTATGTAAGTGCATGAACACACGTACTTAATAAAGTACACAAACACAGAGTAACTGTGAAAGGCTGATGCCAAAGCACTTGTAAAAGGAGATGACATTTCTCTGTGTGGCAGGGGAATTAATTGTGATGTGTGTTTCCAGGTAGCAAGAAGAAATGCCCTGACAGAGACAAAGGCCCCATAGCCAGTTTGCTGGACATGGTGTTGTTATACTTTCCTGTGTTTGATAATTACTCTCCTCAGCCTTCATCACATTTTTTTTATTATTTTAGGGATCTTTTCAAGGAATTTATGAACATCGAATATGCTGTTAGGGCCTGGTACCATTAATTACAGCATTTATAATGGCCACATCACTTCAGGGACACCAATTCCAGTTTTACGGGGGGCGGGGGGGAAGGGGGCAGTCCAGCCAGCCAGTCCATCCCCTGCTTCCAGATAACACTGATTCTCCCAGAACTGCAAGAATCTGTCATACCTTGGCCAGATGGTCTTCCTTTTCTGTTTTCACACCAAATCGTGAAATGCTGGTGTTATTTAAGCTTGAGCTATGCATTAATTTTTTCACTCCACTGATCTGTGTCATGAGCTGCTGTTTTTTCTTCTTCTCTCTGTCTTTCTGGGTGGGAGAAGGAATCTCCACATCATTCTGCTTGTCTGTAACAAAGGTGAAATGATTCAACATCGTTTGCAGTGTGAGCACCCATCACACCCCCCAGAACCAACCCTTAGCTTTGCTGATTAAGTGGCTCCACACCCCGGTTCAAACCCATGTGTTTCCGCTGGGGATCCTCCCTAAATTTGGGATCGAACGGAACCAAAACCAAAGCAAAACAGTCACATAACCTCTGTTTGCCCTCTGCAAGACTGAGCCTTCCCACTGAGACCTGCTGGGACATGAAGAGCCAGGCTGCTTTCATCATAGCCATTTTCAAGCTGCATCGCTTGGGGACACACCACATGTCCAGGAGCTAGCTCTGCATGCCTGAAGGGCACCAGGTTCTGCTTATGGCTAGATCTCAACTAATTTTTATTACCTATTTTCAGGAAAAGAAAATATGTATTCAAACAACACATTTTTCCTCAATAAAGTACATAAGCATATATTTTCACATTCACTCTATTGACACTTATTAGGGCCAAACCCATCTCCATACCCTCTGCTCTTAAAACACCAACCCAATAAAAAATTGGTGTCACTGATTTATTAAAGGTTTGCCCTTTACAAATATGTATAGAATAACATACAATGCACAGGTCATATTTCTATTATCATGCTCAGAGATAGTAACAATACTAGTGCACATTAAGTAGGCATCTAGTGGGGCACAAACTTGGCTGTGGAGATGTGTTTAATAAATAAATCTATCCACATATGCCACTTACTGCCTTTACAACTGATTTATTGGCTGCATTCAAATGGAAATGCAGTGGTTCATTACTTTCATACTAACCATTTTTTCATGAACTTTTCAGAAAAGGCTACTATAATCTCTTTGCACCTTTGCATCTCTGAGGACCTCTGGAGGGACCAGGCATCCAGGCATTAGTTACTTTTGCCTTGGCTTAATTAAAAATCTCTGAAATAAGAACTACCACTGCCTCTGCAATACTGCAATTAAGAAGGAAGCCATTATTCACGGCAACAGTCAAGCTGACATCAATGGGTGTTTCCCTTGTGTGTTTTTGCTGAACAACAGAAGGACTTTCCTCTATATAATCTCCTTAGCAATGACTAACACTAAGGCAGCATAAAATGGACGTTCTTGAACAGAAATCTCTATAATTTGTTAAATCATGCCTCCACAGTGGTAGCAGCAGGAACACCCCTCGCCCCTTAGGAAAGGGCACGTGCTGAAAGGCCATCATGATCTTCCCCGTTTATGTGATGTGGCCAACGATAAAACCACGATTTTTCAGCTTTGTCCTTCATACAGATCTAAAGCTGGCGTCCTTGCTGTCACTGACTAAATGGTGACTGCAGGACTGGCCCCTCTGCAGAGGACATCACTTCTTGGTGCCTTCTTCAGCTCATTTAATAAAGTCAAGAGACTGAATGAAGTAACATGATCTGGTTTTAATATCTGTAAGTTATCCCCATCTAACAAACACTGTTTGGAGGTAAATGAATGTCCTAACCACATTTTTTTTTTGTTTGTTTGTTCAACTTCCTCAGTTGTAGACTCCTGTTATTTTGTGTGTTCATTTAATTTTAAACCAAATTTTAGGGGGGGGGTGGGTGGTAATTAATAAAAATGTAACAGCATGACTTCCTAAAAAAGCTTTAAGATCTTTTTAAAAGCTTTACTAATTTCTTTTTAATATGAGCAATCAAGTTGCAATCTAGCCCAATCTGGAGAGCTTGCACCACTTGGCATTAACATGGCCCTAAGCGGTTGACTGGCCCTCATACTGCCACAAAAGGGCGAGGACGTCACCATTACAGAGTATGTGAGAAGAAGCAGAATAGGAATGAACAAGACCATTGTTGTCAAGACCTGCAAAGGGAAACGCAGTTACCTAACCCAGCCTGAGTAGGGGGAATAATACAGCCCCATTAGCACCAGCAGCAGCTTCAGCTAATTAGCCCCTGCTGAGATACAGACTCCACTATGAGTGTATGTGTGGTTTATTAGTTTTATATTAGGTCCACAGTATCAAGCCACGTTGGGTATTTCTGCTGCAGCACATCCTGCTCCAGCAACATATGCCTACTGGCAAGAGCTGATAAACAACAAACTCCCTGAAAATGCCATGGTGGTCATGCTCCCCAGCGTACTGTGTACGCTCCAGGCTCTCCAGCTGAAGAAGTGGCCTGCTGACTGGCAGCTAGGCAGTCTCATTTCTATTCCGTGTATTAATTCATGTTCTGGATATCATGATTAAGCTGAGCGATAAGACAGGGCCAATGGATTCCCACAAAGCAGCTACAGACTTACATGGATTATTAATGATGTGATGTGTCCTAAATGCACGCAGTCGTTCCAGTTGCAACTGGCTATTGAAATCACTTTAAAATCCCTTAATGGAAATAATTGTTTGTCATACAGTGAATGCATTCTGGGCCATTTTAACTGCAGGGCATGAGTCCCCCATGAGCTCTGGCATCCCACACACACTCAGCATTTTAAGCTGTTGGACTCAGGGATACGTATGTGAGGGTCCTGTGCTAAGCTTCGTTTTATATGCAAATGGTCACAAATTCTAAGCTGCTTGAAAACACAGGAAATTATATTTTTCATAATGAATATATTTTGTAAACACAGAGGATTAATTCATGTCAGTAGACGTATGAGCTCCAACAAAATGAAATGCAAAATATTCTCTTTACTCTTTATTCTGACTTGCAGTGCAAAGTGAGCAAATACACACAAAGTAATATATAAAATGTCTGGGCTGAACCTACTTGTCTGAACCCCTGTTTCTGAAGGCTGAAGATGCAGCTGTAAGAGGCAGTAGTTGCAAAGATGAGAGTATGCAGTTGGGCTTGTGTGATTTTGTCCTTTCCATAAGGTCAACACAAAGATCAAATACTGCATAATGCAGTTGCCAATAACTTAATTCAATGTGAACAGAAAAAATCTTTTGATTTAGAGAAGGAATTCTTCTGTGGACAGACTTATTCAAACACTTACATTTTCCTCCCCATATCCATTTTGAAAGTAAAAAATCAAAACATTTAAATAATGTTTTGCCCCAAAGGAAAACTGGGCACAAGCATTGACTGGTGGGTATTAGGCTGCCATTAATTGCTATCTTTGAGTCACCCGAAAGCTTGGGATGCGACGCCTTACCCAGGAAAGTGTTGGAAATGTACTCGGACACCTGGTTGCCAGAGCGGCTCATCTCGGAGAGGTGTGTCAGCTCCCGGTTCAGCATCCTCTTGAACTGGGAGGGGAAGAGCACATACACAAAGATGGCATTTTTCTGAATTTTCTGAACTAATACAGCTCGAACTGTATCACAAACAAGTCCACAAACAAGACGTTAAAAGCAAAATTCTGGAGATATTTGGAACAGAGTCAGTGACATATGGTTTCATTTAGATACTGTTCAGCATCATCATGACTAGATATTTCTTTTCAGTACACTAAACTACCGAATTAATTTCCTCCAAAGATGCATATTAGTTTTTACTGTAACAAATGAGAAGATAATGTTTCAGGTAACCTCTCTGAAAGATCAAATTCTTGTATTGGTTTTAAATTCCACATCCTATAACCTTCTTTTGTTCTGAATTTTATAAGTTTGCTCCATCTTGAATTATGCAAGTAAAAGACAACTGCGTATGTTCAGAACAGAGCAGAGGAGAAATATGCCATAAATCTGAAGATCTGCTTGGATCATTACAGTAAAATGTAGGATTCAAGCATTTGTTCACCCAGATATACATGCTATGATCCTCCTAATTTTGTAACCACACATTTTCATTGCTGCATCATTTTATCCTGCAACAGTGAATTCCCAAAGGGAGAAAAAAATTTACATACATGTACACCACATGCACAGTACACACATATGTTTTTCTCTTGCCATACAGTACACATAAATAACCATTTAAAAAGCATGTTTTCCTTATAGAGGTTTTATCCAAGCAATACAGCACAAAAAAACAGTAATTCATAATCCTTCAGGATTTAAACCCACCTTAATATAACCCCAAGATACAGATAACAAATAGTTTGCTTCAGGCATTTTGGAAAACTCCACGCCACCGTCCACAAATCCTCACGGGGAAATTGCCGGTCAGACAGAAGAGCTCCTCAGGCACGCGGACACCCCCCTTCCCCAGTCAATAAAATAAAATCAGCGTTCATCAAAGCCAGAGATCCCCCAAAGCCCGGCAGTTGCTAATCCCAGACAAAGCCAAGCTTGGCATAGCATCTTCACAGAGGGCTTGAACGTGGGTGTATTTGCTCGCAGGAGAGAATAATGAAATCAGGGATTGCACGAAGAAACGAGAACTAATCCAAATGTATTCAGCTGGATGACTGGAAGCACTTATGAATTATGAATCGTCCTGGTTGCTTAGTTGGCTGAAGGGGGTCCCCACTCCACATTAGCCTTGCTCAGCTGAACTGTACGACAAAAAAATGATGCTGGTTTCTGAGGGGCTGCCAGCTTTAGTAACACAGCCATCTTTTTATAAGGAAGATTAAAATGGAGGAAGCTCTGTGCATATTTAAATAAGTCAAAAGTAGGCAGTAGCCTCTTCTCCATTTCTGTTTTTTTTTAATCCTCTTCATTACAGAGACTGAGGATTTTCAAAGCAAGTATTCACATATGGATTTCTAAAAGCATAATTTTTCACATTTTCAGTGTGATCATAATTTTTTTTCCCCTACATGGTAAAGGGCAAAATGTAGCAATGTAGCAAAATGTACCTTTACAAACTGGAAATATTTTTCAGGTAAAAGGTACAAACTAATAATAACCTTAAATCTGTAATGTCAGCCTGCAATCACAATATAAGATTTTAATAAATTCTTTCTTAGAAGAATATATTCACAATCTGAATTTCAAGATTTAATCATTACTTTAATTTTTATTTTAAACTGAAATGCAATCACTTTATTAGGAAGCTGTAGCTGTCCTTTTAGCACCAAATCAAAAGCAAAGCACATTGTACTGTGTATGCGATACAGATCACAGCAAGGAGCCACCACTGATGTGCAGCATTCATACTGCTTTAGGACGTCCTTGGTGATTGCTGGCTGTAATATGCCGCACAACAGCAGCCAGGATTCCTAAAATAAAAGTGCAATCTCTGGTCTAAAATTATTTTCCTTCTCTGACTGCCTTGATTAAATGCTATCAGCCTCGCTTGGCATGACGTCACGAGGCTTCCTCGCATGCTGTGGGACATGCAGGGCAGGCGGGACAGCCCGTGCTGCATCGCACCCCCGGCCCCCGCTGCAAGAGCTGACGGGCAGGGAGATGCAGAGCCTGCGCACAGCCCGCGCAGCAGCTCCCTCCTTGCCCAGGCTGCCGGATCAGCACTGAGCACCACAAAAATCACGCCTCGCTGGCCAGGCACGGCTCCAGTCGCTGCTCAGCACCGTCCAGATGGGATTCCCACTCAGCCTTTCGGCCATAAGAACCACACAGAGCAAATGAATTTGTGAACCCACCTTCTTCTCTCCTTAAATTCATGATTATCAGAGGTGGAAAGCTGATGCCACCTCCCTTTTACCACGTGGCTATCTGCACAGACCAAAGATAGGGTGCTATCTGCTCGGACTCTGCCACAACCACCTCTGCTGTCTTCTCTTGCAGCAACCTGCCTTGCCCTGCCAGCGTGAACGTCACACAGCGAGGCCTCACTTTCCGGGTTACTCAACCAGTTTAAATAGTCTTATGGGATGCGAAGGATGCCATCTCATGGAATACGGGCAGGAGCGGGATGTGAAGGATGCCGGCTGCCCAGGAGGGCATCCCACAGCACCGGGGCACAGGCAAGGGCTTCGGCTCATGGGGTCTCCACTGAACTTCATGCCAACCAAGAGGGACAAAAGCCTTTTTGAAACTCCCAAGAGAAACCTTGGTGATTGAGAACGACCGGCAGCACGAATGAAAACCAAGTAAGAGAAAGCCCGTGGGAGGAGAGGAGAGCTCTGATCCTATCATTCCTCACGGTGACGTATTTTCACCGGTCACAAGCACCAGCCACCAACACGTGAGCACTCCCACAGACTTATAGCAAAGCAAGTGCTGAAACATTTCTCTGGATCGAGGCTTTTATCTTTACAAGGCAAACACCATAATCAGATGATTGCACAAAAAACTTTTAAGCAACGTTGAATCAGTCGGATTTTCTATACAATCGCCCCTTTCAGACAAATAATCCCAAGTGGTGGACAAACATTTGAAAAAAATGGCTTTACCTCACAACTGCTTCATAAAGTACAAAGGGTAGCTGCTACCTCTTCACAGAGGCACAAAGCAATTAAATGGCCTCCACAAGGTCACCCAAGCCATCTGCAGCAGAGATGAGGACAGATAAAAGACCTTAGGATTCTCATATCTGATCTTTAACTAGAAATCTGTCCCCTTCATTTCCTCCAACAGCCTTAATCTTGCTCACTTTTCCAGACTTTTAATCAGCAACCTTTTATAAAGGCAGACAGCAATATTACAGCACTGCTGAAAGGACTGTTGGTGCCAAACCCAGCCGAGACACCCACAGTGCTATGAGAATACCCACATGCTTTGCAAAGTTTATTGCAATTTACCATCTGAATGATGCTGGCACCTAAGCAGGATTTACTTAATAACATGATACCCTTTTAAAAACAACACAGTTCAGCATGGACCGAGGCATGCTGATGGTGCACTCAGTAATCACAATGTCTTCACTGCTCGTGGGGGGTATTTGAGATTTTTCCTGAGCTTCCCTTGATGTCAGGATGCTCTGGAGCGACACTGCTTCCTCTGAACTGCTTTGCCATTTGCCTGCGGCACCCGCGGGGAGAAAGCACAGCACGTTGCTGCCTCTCTGCACAGATCAATGACTGATGTCATGTGCAAACCTCTGTAACGATCCCTTCGTTAAATCGATTTGACAGCAAAGGGTAAAACAAACAGATTGCACGCTAGCAATAAGAAAATACCAACTGCTCTGCCATTAAGCAAAAAGAAATGCTGCTGCTTTAAAGAGCTCGTGCATGAGCGCAGCATGGCCCTCAGCTCGGCAATTATGATAATGCCTATCAGCAACATGCGGACATGTGCTGTTATTTTCATAATTAATAATCATCTCAGTGCCTTTTACAAAGGAAAGAAGCCCTGATAACCTTGCTGTACAGATGGGAACTGAGGCATACGTAAGAATACGCGTGCGCGCACACGAGGATGTACACGGGAGGGGATGCCCACCCCGACTCAAGGGGGTTTTCCCTTAAAAAGAAGCAAAATCAGGAAACGGGCTTGGGGCTCCCTTCTCTCTACCCCAAACTCCAATCACAGGACCATGCAATTAGCACTTGCAAATGATGAAAAGAGTGCAGACAACGAAATAAGATGAAGCCTCAACTGAAATTTTTAATAACCAAATACACATGGCGGTACAGCTGACCTTCCCAGCAAGTCACAGAGGTCTGAAACCATCTGGAAGGTTGTGTGAGAAAAAGCCATCGCATCGCGTAGAGTTTTCCTGTTTTGCATGCTCTGAAGTAACTGCAGAAGCCATCTGAACCAAATTAAGTCTCCCAGAAATTGAATCATTCTTTGATTACCAGCAGTGACCCTTTTTCGTATATTCTCTGGTAGAAGGAATCACAGTTTCTTTCCAGCTTTCCAGTTGTGTGTGCGTGCGGTAATTTCCTTGATTACCATTGGGAAAGTTCACTCACAGTTCCCCTCTTGGCTGCCCATACCGCACCCTCGCTGCTCACGTTTTCTCCACGCCGGCAGTTGCAGTATTTGCTATTACTTCTTCAGCTGCAGCGTGGGGCTAAGCACTGGCCCCAGCACAAAGCTCTGCAAGGACTCGACCATGGGGACCTCTGCGGGCGCGCGGGAGGGCAGGGGCATCGGCACTAAGTGCACAGCAGCTCCTTCAACTACTCGGCGGCTGGTCCTTCACCTCGTCCTAACCAAATGCTCTGCAGGCAAAGTTTGCTTGCCTTCATTTTTGTGCAGAGGAAGAAAATTTGGCCTAATTTATGATAAGATTTGCCACATTTAGGAGACCAAGCACGCTGGGAGCGCACTGGCTCCAGGGACGTCGCATGCAATATGGGGTGGAGTCCAGGGCAGCATCCAGCCACACATGGGAAATCTCCCTGGTGCTTCAATGTGGAAAATCCCACCTTTCTGGCTCTTTATGGAAGAAACAACTCTCTTCCTTTCCTAGGAAGGTTAGGGAGAGCCACGCAGAGGCACACACAGTTCTTGGCCTTTCCAGCCCCCCACACCGGCACCAGCAATAGTTCTGTTGTTATTCCTGTTCCTATTCCCCTTTGGAATAAGGCATCAGAGGTGTTCCTAGTGCTTTACAGGGAGAATAAAGACAGGAGGATGTATCTGCTGCTGATGTAAATCCTTTGAAGTCGATTTATACCAGCTGGGGTTCCCTGAGGCCAAGAGTCCTTATGCAAAGTGGCTGCTTAAAAAAGTTTTAGTCATTTGCAGGAGCTGAGGGCAATTTCAAGATAAAAGAGCTGCTAAGATGCTGCGGGTCCAGCCCCAAGTACCTAGGGAGAGTGGGGTCCCACCCCACACTTTGATGGAGGAATCTCGGTGCAGATCTCCAGTGTGTAAAAATATTTATAAACTCTGTTCCCGGCGACCCACCCTTCTGACGCAAACATTACATCCCTCGCTCTTCCACCGCTCCTAGAAATCCTTAGAACAAAAGGATTTGTGGCACGAGGGCTACTTTCGCCTTTGATTTCCACGCAAAGGCAGCTGGGCTGAATCCTTCTCAGCTTAATTGCCCAGGTAAATCACTTCAGTTTCAGAGGCGCAATTAAACTTCGGTGTAACTCCATTCATTTCAACAGCTCTTCTCCCAGGAATAATTGGATGGCGAGCACCAGGAGCTGGGAAGAGCTGACACTCACCTGCCTGTGTGACAGAGTGGAAACGAGAGTCCAGCCGGAAATTATTTACATGCAGGAGGGAAATTACTCATCCATGTATGCAGTAACCGGGTCAAACAGCAAATGCGTAATGCTTTTGTCTGGACCTCTGGTCACTCGAAGGGAATGGATGTGACACTCATGCGCTACTGCACACATTTTAAAAAATGAGATTAAT